ACCCCCTGAACAACCCGGGGTGAGGGGCAGCTGGGGTCAGCCCTGCCGCCCCTGCCAGGCCCTGGGTCAGGGGGTGCAGAGCTGGTGGGAAGTGCCCTGTGCCCTCCACATTGCCATCGGCTTCTGCATGGCCTTGCTGTGCTCCCTCCCCCTGTTTGCGGTGTGGGGGCCGGCGCAGGGTGTATAATCTGTTGGATTTTCCTCCTTTCGATGATAAAGAATTTTTTTTTTAAAGAAAAGAGCAAAATGAGTTCTTTTGCGCGTGGTTCTTCCTCCTTCAGGCCCCCCACGGGGCAGCCTGGGAACAGTCCTGGGGCTGCCAGCGCCTCCCCTATGCAGGCACAGACTGCTCCTCGTCCTTGGGGCCTTGCTTGGTGAGGGGGTCACGTGGCAGCATCAGTTCCTGGATGCGGGCAAAGGTCTCGCTCTCGGCTGGGAACTGGTTCTTCTGCAAGGGTGACAGAAGCAGGGGTGGGGAGGTGTGCTGCAACTTCTGGCCCTGGGGGCACCAGGCCCGGAGGTAGTGCCCATGTGGCAGGACTCACCCCCAGAGACAGGCGCAGCAGCCCTGTCTGCCCCTTGGCTCCCGTGCTGGCCTTGCTCCACTGCTGCTGCTGGTTCTCCACAGCAACCAGGAAGGCTCGCAGGCCCTGCTCCGTGATCTGGTTGCCTGGGTAGTCAGGGAGGTGGTGGTCAGGGTCCAGCAGGCACCCCGGAAGGAGCTGGGGGTTGTAGATCCCCAGTACAAGGAAAGAGCCCGGCCCAGGACAGGTCCCAGCTCCCAGCTGGTGCCCCCCACACTATTCCCCACAGGCTGCTTGACACGGGGGGGACACAGCCAGCTGGGCCCTGTACCCCCAGGACTCACGGGTGAGGTTGAGGTTGATGAGCACGCGGTTGCCCGGCAGGAAAACTTTCCCCTCGCGGTGCTCAGCCTGCTCCAGTAGCGGGTTCATGATCTCGGTGAGCTCTGGCACCTGCATGCAGCAGGAAGTAGGTCATGGCGCTGGTGCCCTCTGCTCTACCCAGCTGCTAATGCCCCCAGGCCTGGACTGGGTCTGTCCCAGGCTGAGGTGGGAGGCCAGGGCCACGGTGCCAGGCTGGGCAGGGCCCACTGACCTCTGGCTCCAGCGGCTGGTTGCGCTTTTCCTTGTTACCAGATTTGGCACCTTTCCCACGCACAATCTTCTGCTCCGGGGTGGTGAGCGCTGCAAGGAGATGCGGCCTGTTGCCACGTGGGCACCTGGCCAAGCCCCACCTACACACCAGGCTGGCGGCAGGGGGTTACAGACCCCCCACCCTGTGCTCTCCCAAGGGGCTGAGAGCCACAGCCCAGGCTTCCCCCGCATGATTCCTACTCTTCTTGGCCTGCTTCACGTCTTCCTTCTTGGCCAGCATGAAGGCTGGGCCGCTTGGGACCCCACCAAGGCTGGGGCTGCCCACCTGCCCCCGCTCCTCCTTCCTCTGCGGCTCCTGGAACAAGGGCGCAGCCTGTAGCAGGGGGCCGGCAAGCTGGGGGCTGCGCCATCCCTTGTTCTCCCCCCCAACCTGTGCCCATCCTCACTTTCTTCTTGGCCACATTCTTGCCCTGCTTGGTGGGCTGCAGCTTGTCGATGGTCGTGTTGCTGACCAGGCTGGACGGGCGGTCGGCTTTGACCTCGTGTCTCTGAAAGGTGGGAAGAGAGGGTTTCAGGGTGGAGCTCTGGACTGCCCCCCACACACAGACCCATGGGGCAAGCCCAAATGACCCCCTGGCACCAGGGGCCTGGCACCATCCTCACCACCCGGGAGCGCTCCTGGGACTCCTTCTCTAGCAGAAGCCGTCTCCTCTCCACCACCTCGGTGTGTGTCAGAGCGAAAGGCCCCAGCACCTGGCACAGAGTAAAGGCAATCAGGCCTGAAGTCCACCCCCAAGTGCTGCAAGGCAGGGGGGCAGCAGGAGACCGAGATGCCCACTGCTGGACTCACTTCAGCGAGCCTGGCTGCGCCCTTGTCCCCGATCTGGTTGTGTGCCAGTGACAGGGACAGCAGCGAACGATTGAGCCGCAAGCCCTGGATGGACAGGGATGGAGGGTGTCAGCCTGCAAGAGCCCATGCCCCCAGCAGACCTGGCCTTATCCCTCCACTCCCCACAAACCCCTCACCTGGGCGATGTGGTTGGCCCCCACATCCCCGATGTGGTTGAAGCTGAGGGTGAGCGAGACCAGGCTGCGGTTGGCGGTCGTCAGGGTGGACAGCGCCTGGCCCAGCTGCCAGGCAGCCGCGTCGTCAATGCTGTTGTTGCGCAGCGACACATGTGCAAGCCTGTGGGATTGGGTGGGAGTGCCATCAGCCCTGCTCCCCCAGCCCAGTGAGGGGGGTTTCCTTGTAAGAGGGGCATGCCCCCCCATCCCGGGACAACCCCGCAGGACCCCTGGGGCCAAGGCCACGCAGGGTCTAGCCCATGCCCTTCCCCAGTCCTGCCCTGGCCTCACGTGCTGTCCTCGGGGATCAGTTTGTAGAAGGAGCCCTCAGGCAGTGGGTTCCCTTCCAGGGACAGGGTCCTGCAGGGAGAACAGAAGCCGCCCGGGCTGTGGCCACCTCTGCGGTGAGCTGCCCCTGCTGCGAGCTTCCAGGGATGGAGGGACCAGCTCTCCCCTGGGCCCATCAGAGCCCTCAGGTGCCAAGAGCTGCAGGCTACAGCACCACAGCCCTTTGGTTTGTCTTCGTAATTAGTGAGAGGTTCATTGCCTTCCATGAAGACCCCTGCCCCGTGCCTGCCTTGCACTCACTTGAGGTTGGGGCAGCTGGGAAGGATGCTAACCAGCGACGACAGCAAGAGGTCCGTCAGGCCGACCTTCCAGAAGCTGCGGAGGGAAGCACAGCAGCCCGTTAAACCTGTGAGGCAACCGGTCCAGTGATGCTAGCCTTAGAAAGGGAAACTGAGGCACCCAGCGAGGTGGAGACTCGCCCCAGGTAAGGCGGGGCAAGCCGAGTTTCCTGGCTCCCTGCCCTGCTGATCACCCACCTCAGCTCCCCCCCAGCCCCATGTGCTGGAAGAGGGGCCCAGCTTGGCTGTCACCCCCACAACCCCTGGGCCGGGCCAGGTCTCTGCTAAGCCAGACCTGGTGCCAGGGGCACACCTCAGGGCCCTGCCCCACAGCACATGCCACTCAATGCACTCACTGCAGAGCCTGCAGATTGCCCAGGGCAGGCAGACACTTGCTGAAGATGCCCAGCATCTTGTCTTCGATCTTCCAACCTGCCGGAGGCAGAACAAGGCTACAGGTCATGGGAGGTGGGCAGCAGCCAGGCTGCTGCTACCTCCATCCACCCACTGCCAGTACCCACCACCTGGGCTGGGAACGTGGAAGCTGAGGGCTTAACCAGGTTCAAAAGCAGGTGGATACCTGCTTGGAGCTATTGAGGGGCAACTGGACAAAACAGATTTATGGTCTGACCCAGTACCTGGCAGCTCTTATGTGCTAAGGGCCTGGCCGGCGCAGGCCAGGGAGGCTCCTGATGCCAGCCTCGTGCAACACCTGCTTTCTGCAGTCACACAGCCCAGGAGCCTGGGGACAGCAGGGCACGGAGACCGCCCAGCCCGGTGTAGCCTGGAGCAGCAGCTGAAATGGCTAAAGCCCCAGGGCCCTGGCAGGGACAGTGCTGGGGCTCCCCATCCCCGTGCCAGCCCCATGCACTCCTACCGCAGCATCAGGGAGCTTCCAGCCAGTTCCCAGCAGCACGGCCTAGGGCTAGAGCTAGAGCATGTAGCATTCCCAGCACCCCGAGCAACCGGCTCACCTCGCATGAAGACCTCGCGGACGCTCTTGGGGTCATCGAGCTCCAGCTCGGTCTGGATGCGGGGCCGGAAGTAAGCGTACTTGCTCTGGATGTGGGTGGCACTGGCCTGGCCCTCCACAGCCTCTGGCTCCTCTGTGGGGTGGAATGGAGGCAGGGTCGGATCCAGCACCACCAGCAGTCGGCCTCCTCCGGGACCCTCCACTTCTCTGGGAGCTGGTTTGGCTTCGACCCGTCGCCAAAGCAGCCCCAGATCCAGGCCCTGTTCTGACCCCCTGCCCCGGCCTTGCTCCCCAGGTCCTCCACAGTGCTCCCAGCCCTGTGACAGCCCCCAGACCCCAGCCCCAGTGCCCAATGAAGCTGCAGGTGGGCAGAGCCTGGCCCAGCCTACCCCACTCACCCGGCAGCGAGACAGCGCGCGGGCGCACGGTGACGCGGGGGATGTAGGTGAGCCCGGCGCGGGCGCACAGCTCCGGGAAGTCCTGCTCCAGCAGCCCCGTGCACTGGTACTCCTCTGCCAGGGGGGCACGGATGTTATCCCAGCCCTTGACCCCACCAGCCCTATTCATGCATCAC